GTATCGAAGGCCGCTGAGAGGTCAAGGAGTACCAGGATGGAGGCATGACCTCCATCCCTGGCTCTCCAGAGATCATCGATCAATGCGACCATTTACTTACAAGCACAAATGCAACACACACACACACATTAAAAGTCATCTTTTTTGTTTTGTTGCCATTTGTTTAGGTGGCAGAAATAACTGGTGTTGTAGAGACAGCTAAAGTATATCAGCTTGGAGGTACCAGGACAAACAAAGGGTTGCAGTTAAGGTGAGATACTTGAAAGTCTTATCATCTTGAGGGAGTGGTATCCTTGTATAAAACAATGTGTAATTATCCTGAATCAAGAGAAAATTGATATATTTAATCTTAGGATAAGTTTCTAAGGTAATGAAAAATCCAACAAATATTGGAGTGAAGAATGTCTGTCCTGTTAGATCCAATAGTTTACTTTCAGCAGTAATAGTGCATTCAGAACACATTTTCTTGTAATAAAGTAGAACTGAACTGACTTAATACTAATAAAAAGTAATCAATCCAAGAGTGCTTTTGATCACTCTTACCTCCTCCAAAATTTGGGCGATAAATAAAAGCTACAGTTAATTTTCTTTTCTTTTCAAAGGCATGGTAATGACCAACGTGTGTTCCGCTTAGAGTTTGTCTCCAATCAGGAATTCACAGAGAATGAGTTCATGAAGTGGAAGGAAGCTGTAAGTTTCTATTTTTTCAATTGCTTTATCAAGAATTTAGGATTGTGCAGTGAAAAAAATTCATTGATTTTTTTTTTCTTTTGTTGCTATCAGATGTTTTCTGCTGGGATGCAGTTACCCACCCTTGATGAAATAAACAAGAAAGAAGTATCCATCAAAGAAGCCCTCAACTATAAATTCAATGACCAGGACATTGAGGAGGTAAATGAAGAAAATGTACTTTTGAGCTGGAACCATTCATTTGGTCCATAATGTAAAGGTAGGTGAGGTTATAAAAGAGACATTCTCGGGTGCCATATTTTGGTTCTATAAAAATAATGTGGTCTTGACAGCCATATTTATATGTGATGAAAGATACCATGGGTCGGTACTTTTTTTTTTATAATTTTTTTTTTATTTTCAAAACAAACATACAAATCCTCCTTTACATACTGTAGAAAGTGTATCAGTTGGTTACAAAAGGATTTTGTGCATCTCTTCCACCATCATCAAATAGAATTCATATTAATTCTAATATTTTAACTCAGATATTTATTATATTACCATCATCATACCTTCACCTTTATTTGACTATAATTATTTAAACGTCCTTCATCATAAAATATACCAAGATTTAAACAAAACCACATGCTGGCATTTCATTTGCTTATTTATAAAATCCTCCATTAACATTATATCCTCATATCCTGTTTNAACCCTGGACCATTTCAATCAATCAATCAATCAATCAATCAATCAATCAATCAATCAGAATAGAGCTGGAAGGGACCTCGGAGATCTTCTAGTCCAACCCCATGTTCAAGCAGGAGATCTCACACCATTTCAATCAATCAATCAGCATAGAGCTGGAAGGGACCTCGGGGGTCTTCTAGTCCAACCCCCTGCTCAAGCAGGAAACCCTGGACCATTTCAATCAATCAATCAATCAATCAATCAATCAATCAATCAATCAGAATAGAGCTGGAAGGGACCTGGGGGTCTTCTAGTCCAACCCCCTGCTCAAGCAGGAGACCATAGACCATTTCAGATGAGTGACTTTCCAGCCTCTTCTTAAAAACCTCCAGTGTTCAATCAATCAGTATAGAGCTCGAAGGGACCTTGGAGGTCTTCTAGTCCAGCCCACCCTTCTCAAGCAGGAGACCCTATATCGGGGATGGCAAAGGTTTTTGGCACCAAGTGCCGAAAAGGGAGTGTGCGTGCCCGTTGCATGTTCACACTCATCGGGGGACGCAATCTGGGAGAGGAGCTGCCCAGGGTGGCATGCCTACGACGGGAAATGAGCTTCTGGTTTTTGGCACATGCACTTCCTGTTTTCAGCACGCATGCGCGAAGAACAGTTCTTCAGTTGACGGAACTGCTGAACGCACGAAGGCCAGCCGATCGTCATGCGTGCATGCGTGCCAGAAACCCAGAAGAGGAACAGGAGAGGCTGCACATGCCAGGTGACATGGCTCTGTGCACCACTTCTTGCCATAGGTTGACCATTACCTATATCATTTGAGACAGGTGGCTGTCCAGTCTCTTCTCTAAAACCTCCAGTGGTGGAGCACTCATAACGTCCCAAGGTAAAGCCATTCTACTCGTTCAATCGAGCCACCAGAACAGACCTGGAAGGGACCTTGGAGGCCATCCAGTCCAGCCTCCCCCCCCCTGCACAAGCAGGAGACCCTAGACCATTTCAAACAAACGGCTCTCCAGTCTCTCCTTAAAAACCTCCAGCAAGGGTACCATCCACAACTTCTAGTGGCAGGTAGTTCCACTGGTTCATTGTCCTCGCTGTTGGGAAGTTTCTCCTTAGTTCCAGGTGGCTTCTCTCCCTGAAGAGTTTCCATCCATTTCTTCTCTTGCCTTCTGGTTTATCCCGCTGCAAACTTCCAAGAAAATGATCCCGCGGAAGCGAAAAGCTGCAACGGGGGATAATGCGCACAACTTTTTCTCTATTTAATTTTCCCTGATCAAATTTGAAATGCTGGAGAAATTGTTCCTTGGGCCGTCTACGCAACCTTGAATACTGAAAGAACCACAAAAGTCCTAACCGGAAGCCCCCTGTTCAATTCTGGAGCCAGCTAGAAGTTTGGTTCCCCTACCATAGAGTCTCCTCCTTGCGTGGCGTCCTTTTCCCTCTGCTGACGAGAAGTCCGAGTTCCCCCACCATAGAGTCTCCTCCTAGCATGGCATCCTTTTCCCTCTGCTGACCAGAAGTCCGAGTTCCCCCACCATAGAGTCTCCTCCTAGCGCAGCATCCTTTTTCCTCTACCTGTCCTAACCGGGAGCCCTATCAATTGTGGAGCTGACTGTAAAACCCGCCCCTTGCCATAGAGTCTCTTCCTGGCATGCTCTGCTTTCCCCCCTAACCAGAAGCAACTCTCGAAATTGTGGTGCCGATTGACGACAGGGAGCCGCAGCAGAGGTATGAAAGAGCCGCATGCGGCTCCAGAGCCACAAGTTGTTGACTCCTGGTCTACGTGTTGCTGGTTTTCGAAATCTTCCGCCGAGGGGCTTTAACGATGCAAACCCTGGCTTTAAAACAGGGTGGTGCAAGCAGGCTAGTAGATTTCAACAATCCAGGGTTACTTTCTAGAGAGTATAGTCTTTATTGTCATTGTTCAAAATAAATACAACGAAATTGGTTAGATCTTAGATCTCGTTCCCAGGACCAGAAAGCAGCAGAGTGCAGTATGTCTAGTTTAATGAAAAGAAGGACTGGGGGAGACATGATAGCAGTGTTCCAATATCTCAGGGCTTGCCCCAAAGAAGAGGGAGTCAAGCTATTCNGGGGGGGGGAGAAGAAGGGCGCCTGAGCGTGCAAAATGCCGTGGGAATTGTACAATTAGTGCCTGCAGGAGAGGTGAAAAGCAACTGCGCCTGGCGGGCGCAGCGTGTCCGCAGGATGCAATACCTCAAAGCGATTTCCCTCGGCGGCTCCCTCATTATAGAGCAGTGCAGGAGCAGAAAGGGGGCGGGGGAGAGAGAGAGAGATGGTTGTATTTTCACACCGCTCATACGCTGAGCCCCGGCCCGCTGGCTGGCTGGCACGCCACTCCTCTCTAGGGAAGCAAGCATCACCTGGGGGAAGGAAGGCTTCTTTGGGCGAGGCACGACAACGAGCAAACATTTGATCTCGCGGGGCAAATGCCTGTTCATTGTTAGTCGGTTGGAAGAGCTCCCTTTTTGGGATACGGCTATCGAAAAGGGGGGGGGCAGAAGAAACAGTGGGTGCTAAATCTTCATTATCCTTTCCTGCATCCCCGTTTAGGGACCTTCCTCTCCGGCCGAAGGGATTCCTCCTTTGGCAACCATTCCCGTCGTACGACCCTCGTGGGGGGGGGGAGGGAGGTTGGGAGTCCTTCTCGGTGAGGCTGACGCTTAAGCCCGCTGCTCCCTCTTCTCGACAATTAATATTATTTTTTTTGAAAGCAACGTGCCGCTCGGCGCCTTCCTTTTGGCAGGGTTTATCGTAGCCCCTTCCAGATGCTTCTGGCGTGGCGTTTGCGGGGAGGGGGGCAGCCACGAAACGCACAGAGTCCAATAATTGTTAATAAATAGGTCCCCGAGTGCATTCGCGGGTGTTGGGCCGGCGTGGAAAACTCCCCTGTGAAGGGCAGCCAGATTAGAGGTCCGCCTGGCCTGGAATTGTCCCTCGTGGCTGTGATTGATAGATAATAAACCAGGCTTCCCCATGAAATGTGTTTCCTTTAGTAAATGCCACATGCACACCCAGAAGAGAGAGGCCTTTTCAACCGATCGGAATAGAGCTGGAAGGGACCTCAGAGGTCTTCTAGTCCAACCCCTGGTTTCCCCGTGAAATATTTTTCCTTGTTGTAAAACCACGCTTTCAAAAACAGAGACCTAATTTCAATCAATCTGAATAGAGCTGGAAGGAACCTTGGAGGTCTTCTAGTCCAACCCCCTGCTCAAGCAGGAGACCTTAGACCATTTCAATCAATCAATCAATCAATCAATCANCTATATAAATTCTATTATTTTCTATTCCACTCCACTCCATTCTATTCTATTCTAATTCTATTCTAATTCTATTCTAATTCTATTCTATTCTAATTCCTATTCTATTCTATTTTAATTCCTATTCTATTCTAATTTCAACTCTATTCTATTTTAATTTATATTCTATTCTACTCTATTTCCTACTCTACTCTATTTTAATTCCTATTCTATTCTATTCTATTCTATTATATTATATTCTATTCTATTTCCTTCTCTACTCCACTCCACTCAGCTGAAGTAGTTGTTGACAGGTAGGACGTTGTAGCAGACAATTTTGTGTACTATTAGCAAAACTTCCTTTGCCTACGTGAGAGCGAGGGTTAGGGACTTCCTTTTTCATACCAAATATGTGACACCCGCATCATAAAACAGTTTCATCACTGTGCCAGCTTTGATTCAGGGCAAAAGAACAATAATTGAGCAGTGAAGGTTTATTTACAGGATTCTCCTGCCGCGATCAAAACTTGCAGAAACAAATTTTCGATTCCTTTTTTTCCCTTTTTTTTGGGTTTTGCAAAAGTTGAAAGCATCTGGTTCAACAGCGCGTCTTCTCCAGGAAACCTAGCGGATGGCATGATGTTCGCCATCGTTGCACCCAAATGCCGCTCTTGACAGCAAGCGCCGTCTTACGAAAATGACAACTTCCCGACCAAATGCGAGATTTTTTTTCCCTCCCCACCCCACCCCCCACCCCCCGGTCTATTATTACTGTAATTAAAAATTACACTCGTAATACGGAACCTGGCAATCGGAGGGATTTGCTTCAGGAAAAACAGATGGTCGTGATAGGGTTGTTTTGAGATGATTTGTCATAAGAATTATTTCTGTCTGCGTTGGGGTGGGTTTTTTTTTTCTTTTGCTTCTTCTGTTCTGTTTAATACAATTAAACCCACTCAGAAATGCTGCTTGTGGCACGTGGTTTTCCGGAGAAAGAGGGATGAAGTTACAGAGGGCGAGAATGGGCTTAAAAGCCATGTTCAAAAGGCTCAAAGTAACTTTTAGTTTTGTCTTTGTGGATAGAATTTTGCCTCTCTCTGTCTTTTCTCTCGTTCCCTCTCTCACTGTCACTCTCTTTTTTCATTCTCATCTCTCCTTCTCTCCTCTTGTATTCTCTCTTTCTTTTCTCTCATTCTCTATTTTTATTCTTCTCTTTTTTCTCATACTCTTTCTTTTTTCTCGTTCTCTCCTCTCTTTTTTGTTCTCTTCTATCATACTCTTTCTCTTTCCTTTCTCTTGTTCTCTTTCTCCTTTTCCCCCCCTTTATTTTCTCTTGTTCTCTGTCTCTTTTTTCATTCTCTTCTCTCTTTTTTCTCATACTCTTTCATTCTTTTCTCTTGTTCGCTCTTTTTTGTTCTCTTCTGTCATACTCTTTCTCTTTCCTTTCTCTTGTTCTCTCTCTCCCTTTTTCCCCTCTTTATTTTCTCTTTTTCTCTGTCTCTTTTTTCATCTCTTCTCTCTTTTTTCTCATACTCTTTCTTTTCTCTCATTCCCTTTTCTCTTCTCTCTTTCCTCACATACCTGTTTCTTTTTTTCTCATTCTCTCTTTTCATTCTCTTCTCTTAGACTCTTCTCTCATTCTCCCTGTCTCTGTTTTCTCATCCCCTTCTGTCTCTTTTCTCTCATTTTCTTTCTTTTCTCTTATTCTTTGTGTCTCCTTTTTCATGTTCTCTTGTCTCTCTTTTTCTCGTACTGTCTTTTTCTTTCGTTCTCTCTCTCGTTCGCTTTTTTCACTTCCTTGTTTTCTCGCTTCTTTCTTTTCTCGCTATCCTTCTCTTTTCTTATTCTTTCTTTTTTCTCCTTCTCTCTCTTGTCTCGTTCTCTCTCTCTGTTTTCTCTCATTCTCTGTTTCTCTTGTTCTCTCTCTTCTCTCATTCTCTCTCTTTTTCTCTTCTCTCTCTCTCTCTCTCTCTCTTCCCCATCTGGCCTTTTTAAACCAGCCTTTTAATGCAGCCCAATTTCATTTCCATCCTTATTTCAAAAAGCTGCAAAATCCCCCCCCCGCCAATCCTCGCGAATGCCATTGTTCAGTAAATTCCCCCCCACCCTTTCTGATTATAAAGCCAGGCTCCTGTCATTCACCAAAAAGAAACCACTGATAAAGAAAAAGAAAGAAAGAAAGAAACCAACAGAACAAACCGAAGCACAATTGAAGCCCTGTTCACTTAGAAAACAGTGCTGGGCTCCGTTTCCCCCCTCCTCCTGCATTCATTCATCCGCCGTTAAGCGTGGCACCCCTGGCCTTAATCTCCCCTCTTGGTCTGGGGAAGAAGAGCCAAAGGGAAGCTTGCAAAGTCCCTTCTTCCTCCTCCTCCTCCTCGGCCTCTTCCTCCTCCGCCTGCCCTGGTTTGCATCTCCTGCTAGGGCCTCTATCATCCTCTGATCAAATATTAATGTGTGATTCTCTGCTTGCTCACCAATTCAAAGCCAATTAATATTATCTGTCAATTATTTACAGATCCGGAGGTGCGGAAGAGATTCCCCGAGGACTACAGTGATCAGGTTGGGCATGCGTAATTAATTTTTTACACGACAAAATTCATTGCGGGTGGGAGGAAGGGGGGTGTTGACCTCTCAGGTTTGTTCTCTCCCTCCCCCAGTTCTTCCTCCCTCCCCCCCCGGAAAAATCTCAGCAAAAAGAAAAACCCCAAAATTTATTTTACAAGATGCTCATCCACCCCACGTGTGGATGGGAAGCCCGAAGAAGAAAGTTTGAAGGGAAACATAAACTGAGATTTGAAAGAGACACCTATAACTACAGAAAAAGAAAGGGAGAGAGGAGGAGAGATGAGAGGAAGAGGAGGGAAAGAAGAAAGAGGTAAGGAGAGGAGGGTGGAGGGGAGAGAAAGAGAAGGAGGGAGGGTAGGAAGAGGAAGAGTAGGAGTAGGGGAGAGGTAAGGGAAGAAGGAAGGGGAAGGAGAGGAGGGTGGAAGGGAGCGAAAGAGAAGGAGGGAGGGTAGGAAGGGGAAGAGGAAGAGCAGGAGTAGGGGAGAGGTAAGGGAAGAAGGAAAGTGAAAGAGAGGAGGGTGGAAGGGAGAGAAAGAAGGAGAGAGGGTAGGAAGGGGAAGAGGAAGAGTAGGGGAGAGGTAAGGGAAGAAGGAAGGGGAAGGAGAGGAGGGTGGAAGGGAGCGAAAGAGAAGGAGGGAGGGTAGGAAGGGGAAGAGGAAGAGCAGGAGTAGGGGAGAGGTAAGGGAAGAAGGAAAGTGAAAGAGAGGAGGGTGGAAGGGAGAGAAAGAAGGAGAGAGGGTAGGAAGGGGAAGAGGAAGAGTAGGGGAGAGGTAAGGGAAGAAGGAAGGGGAAGGAGAGGAGGGTGGAAGGGAGCGAAAGAGAAGGAGGGAGGGTAGGAAGGGGAAGAGGAAGAGCAGGAGTAGGGGAGAGGTAAGGGAAGAAGGAAAGTGAAAGAGAGGAGGGTGGAAGGGAGAGAAAGAAGGAGAGAGGGTAGGAAGGGGGAGAGGAAGAGCAGGAATAGGAGAAAGGTAAGGAAAGAAGGAAGGGGAAGGAGAGGAGGGTGGAAGGGAGAGAAAGAGAAGGAGAGTGGGTAGGAAGGGGAAGAGGAAGAGCAGGAGTAGGGGAGAGGTAAGGGAAGAAGGAAAGTGAAAGAGAGGAGGGTGGAAGGGAGAGAAAGAGAAGGAGAGTGGGTAGGAAGGGGAAGAGGAAGAGCAGGAGTAGGAGAAAGGTAAGGGAAGAAGGAAGGGGAAGGAGAGGAGGGTGGAAGGGAGAGAAAGAGAAGGAGAGTGGGTAGGAAGGGGAAGAGGAAGAG